CCTTATGTCAAGAGCAATTTAGGAAACAAACAAACAATCATAATACTTAGATATTTAATTAACGACGACAAATACGACCTCGTAATCACACCACACAGACAATCAGTGGGATATATAAGAACAAAAAGACAAACACTAAGAATAAAAAATAATTAACAAGCAAAAACAAATCATTAGAAAAAGATTTTCAAAACGAAGAAACAGTCTCAGAATCAGAAACAACCGCAATACAAGAACTTCACAAATTAAAAGACTCAATAAACAAAAACCATCAAATTGACAACCAACTATATTTCACTGATTCAGAAACCACGTCACCAGCATCAATAAAAGGTAAACAAAGAATAAAAAATTGCTACACAAACAAACCAATACATTTGTACAACTGGAATCAACCAATAAGACACATTGAAAATTACACATTAACAGTAATACAACACAAAATTGATTCGAATTGAAGATAACCCAGAAAATTCAGTAATTCCATTTTAAATATCTCCATTAACTGAACCTCGGGGACAGATACAATTTTGTCAAAATCTAATTGCAAACTTATTCGAAACAGGAGAAAGCCCGTGCACAAAAGAATTGAATTTCCCGATGTAAAAATCAAAAGACAACTTCTTGATCACTACCTCAAACGTATATGTAGTCTTACATCACAATATGGAATCTACACAATAGAAATCAGATCACCAAATGCATTTAATGACAGATATCTCATTCAAACTGATGATGTAGATATTGAATTTTCAAAAGTTTTTACACAATACATCAAAAGCATTCAACACCAAAACTCACAAAGAGCAAACTCGATATTTACAAACGATGTATTCCCACTTACCTATAGCTATATATCTATACTAGAATTGAATGAACCGCAAAGCGATTCACCAACTCAAACATCTCGACATACAATTGTACGACAAGAAATACACATATTTTCAAAGTTTTTAAATGCAATCCGAGAAGATCTAACAAAAACGAAATAACACAACATGTTAAACACGATTTACAAAAAATTTTAGCATTGTTCTCAATCGATTATTTCAGTCACAATTTTGATCTTAATGAACAAGCAAGAGAAAATTTTTGACACAAAATACAGATGACGAAACGGTACTAGCAGAACAATCAGTTTATGTTTGGGACCCTTAATGGTCTCATGAATCATTTATTATTATACCAACAGATATATCAAGTCAGGCAATTAGCACCTATCTCCATTAATAAAAATTACGTTAGAACATACCCACTTACATTTGACGCAACCACTTTAACTTATCATTCATTCTTCCCTGAAAGAACAGGAAATAATAGTTTAAATTCTACATTCATAAATAATGATAACTTAATTGGAACAAAAAAATCTTACACAACAAGATATACAAACCCCATCACATTTTGTAAGCGAAGAAATTGTTGCAACAATAACAACAACAGAAGCACAACGAAGCATTTCACCTATTCAACTCAATTTTACAACTCCAAAATTAAAAGCCCAACGCTACAACAAACAATCATACAATCCACAGTAAAACCTTCTGTTGACAAAAATATTCGCAAATGGATTATCCAACGTTCCGACCAGTAACAAAACCATCACACAAACAACAAACATCACATAGAAATAATTTTGCAGAACATAATTACAACTATGTAAATGGACCAAAAACAACAAAACCTAAAACAAATACTCAAAGTTCCTTCTTTTCACAATGTCAAAATACACCACAAACGACTTCAAATTCAGTAAATTTTCATGATCAACCACGATCATCACAAGAACGTGGTAGAAATTACCCTTTTTTTTAACAAATGAAAAATGAAACAAATAAATACCATACCAGAAATCATTCACATTATCATTCAGAAAATTTTATTCCATCAGATGATGATGAATACTATAACCAAAATCATCAGCAATTTTACTCAAGCCAAAGACGAGCAGCAAGGAACTTGTCAATCTAACCACACTCCAATTACGGAATGGCAAACCCACATGACATGCTGCCTAAATCACTACACTCAATGGATTTAAAGTACGACTTGGCATCGCAGCAAAGGCAATCCATTGCAACAGAACAATGGCCATCCCGATGTTCAAGTATACGTACAGATCCAAGTCACCAGGCACTTCATCCAAAGTCGAACTACATGCCACATCCGAACAAGATTGAGTATAACAAAATTCCTATTCTCTAAAACCAACCAGATCAACACTCATCACAATCGATCAGAACCCATAACGCGATCTCCCGAAACTACCGTGATACATCTCGTCTTCCAAACCAGAAAAAGGAATGTGCTCGCAACCTCTAAAGAAAAACACAACCATCCATCCTATACTACAATGGAACATTGAAAAACTAAAACTGTCTAAACCCCGGATGGGTGGAACCAGATCTAAACTAGTATTTGTCATTTGTTATTATTATGATATTTTATCTCTATAAATTATTAAATACTAGCCAATCATACTCCATCAAACTAACAACCTATTTATTTGTAAAGTGTTGAAACTACTTGTAGTTTCAACGCCAGAACAATTTGAATTAAACTTAGAATACAGTTGTTCTCATTCTGGAACTAACTCGCGCAAAGCGGTGTACACTAGATCTATTGAGACTTGAAGATATAAGAGTAAGATTAAGATTGGTATTAGACTAAGAAGTTGCACAATCTCTTCGGCCGAAAATAAGACAGCGTGACGAGCAGACGGTGTACCTTGTCTGAAATTACTCTATGAGTACAGTCACTAGAACATAACTCAATTTTGTAACTATTTTGAGAATTGCCCCATCTTGTTGCGGACTCCGAGGGGCAACATTTACCCCTTTTATGAATTCCGAGGAACAAAATTGTTCCCCTTTTGCAAACTCCGAGTTAAAGAAATCTCAACTAATGATTTAATATGAGTAACGTCTTACTCTCAGCGTTTTAGTATTGAAGTGTATCACTTTGTATTTAGTAGTTCGTGGAAGTTCTTCAAAAAGGAAAAAAATCGTTTTTCTTTAAATTCACACTGATACGAGAAGTCCCTGTTTATTTTAACATAACCAATTTCATCTCTTTCCTCGTTAAAGAAAGAGGTATTGCACCACAAAGTAAAGTTTTTGATTTTCTCTTGCTCTGACATTTAAGTTTGAGCGGTTCTCAAAACGATGTTGATCGTAAAATTTGGGTTCACCATAACAATTCAGTTTGGAAATTAAAATTCACCGGCTTGCTGGATGATTAAAGGTGGGTTGCTAGTGTGGTGTTAATTAGATTGAACCCTGCAGAAAAATATCAAAAAACGAATTGAAATTGTTAGTTGATTAGTTTGTGATATCACTACGTCATCAAATACATGCAATTTTCCAGGTATCTTTTCGGACCCTAAAAACTCTATATTTTAGTTTTAAGGGGGGTTTGTAAGCGCGCGACGAAAAAACACCATTTTTTGGTCAACATTTTCCAAATAGGTCTAAAAAAGCATTTTCCCAAAATGTTTTTTTTTTTCAAAATTTTGCCTGCGGCGCAGAAAATTTAACCAAAACAGGTGCTTGTGGATAACTCGGAAAATCAACGAGGTAGACCCAAAAAAGGTCTACAAAATTATTGAAATTTTGTTGAAAATAAGTCCCCCCTCGAGAAAATCCTCGATCCGCCCCTGCTTCACTAATTAAAGATCGAAAGAAATTAACTTAGAAATCAGACAGTTTTAGAATGTTTGGAGTGCGCTTAATGATAGAAGTTCTAGCTCATTCGCTCCTTCTGTCATGATATTATCCCCCATCTTTCATTTGATACTCAGGAAGCATACTGGTTCCCCTCTCCCCTCTACTCGTCGAAGGACCACTGGACGACAAAGAAGAAGAATGCAACATTCCAAACTGCGAAGATAATGGGCATGCCTATTTTAAACACATTGTTCAACAAGGCATTTCTTCTGTAGGCAGAGCATTCGTTTATGGGACCTCGAAAGTTTGTCTGTTTGTCCTCATCATTTTGGTCCCCACTGCCATCTCCCAGTTCTGCTGATCCCGCCTTGAACAAACTAAGCCGCATAAAACTTCACAAATCACAAACAGTGTTGAATACAGTTCACTTTAAAAGTCAGTAGAATACTAGCTCTTAGGGGTCGTTAGCGTATTGGTAAGTACTTCATTTTGAGACCTTCAGGTCCAGACGTGCATTCGATCCCTTACCGCCGAAGTGATAGTGTGTGAGAACCAGATCTCGAGTATCACTGATAACTGTCATGTCTACCACAACCATAGCAGTTTCTCTTCTTAAATAAGGGATTAGCCACTTAAGTAGTAGATGTTAGAGGTGATCAGGGGGTGTGCGCGGCTGACCCCATGTATTAAGATACGGTATAGATTTCGGGTCCGCCAGTCTCGCTATGTATTAGGATTAGGTATAGAGTCTACAACGTATTAAGATAGGGAAAATCAATGGTAAGGTTTCATGGTTTGTGTGATGGTAAGATAATGGTAAGAAAAACGATTTTTTTTTTGGGTTTTGTGTGAAAATGTCTAGTTTTTTTTGCAAAAATTTTGGGCGAGTTATCTAATTGGTGACTATGCTAGTTGTATTAGGTATAGCGTTTTATATGGTGTTTTAACTGCTTTTATGCTTTATGCTGAAACCTACTGAAACTTCGAAAAAAGTCAAGGTTTTTGGAAAAAAAATTGTAAAAAAAAATTGACAAAACAATACATATGATAAAAATTACACTAATGAGAGCTCAGAAGAAGGTTATATAAAGTTCTGATTATCAAAAGGAAAGCTCATGATGACTTCAAACCTACGGAAAAACTGCAAAAATTTAAAGTATTCGGAAAAAATTACAAAAATTTCAAAGTTTTTGAAAAAAAAAAAATGCAAAAAGCTCATAGTTTTGGTTAATTTTTTGTTGGTTCTGATCTTATTGAAAAAAATACCTATGTGCAGAGTTTAAAATTGAGCTCAAATTGAATTTTATTTGCCATCATGTTGAGACAATGAAATAAAATTTTGAACAAAAATTTTGAATTTTCCACAGTTTTCTCTCAAAATACTAAAATACTAAAATACCATAAAAGTTACCTTAATTTGAGCTACAAAACAAGGTTATATAATGCTCTGAATACTAAAAAAAAAGCTCATGATAGAAGAATCAATATTAAAACTTCCGGAAATAAGTGAAAATAATTGCAATTTTCGAGAGAGTGAAGTAAAAATGAATCAAATCTATCCAAAGTTTTCAATTTTCGTACTTTTATTTCGGTAATTAACTAGTTTTTGTCCCGTTTAGCGAAAATTTAACTAGGAAATTCAAATCAATTTAAAAATAAGAGCAATAATTATTGAAATTTCTAGATCAAACTCCATGATTCAACTCAGTTTTTTCACAATGATTAACCCAATGTTGTATAAAAATTTTAACTTCGGAGAAACTTTTCTCGTTAATAATAATTAGTCTCTGATCAATGATAAACAATGGACTGTTAACTGCTAACATTGACTAAAAATTGGATAATTTTTTCTTAAAGTGTATTAGATATTGGTTGAAATTCAGCAAAATCTTCTTCATAACTGATGATTATTTCTCTGTTGCTTCTGCAACATAACTTTCATGATTTTTCCGTAAAAATGTTTTATGTCTTAAGGTTATTCTTGCTTTCTGCTTAATACATGTTTCGCTATTGAACTCAGTTGGCAAGATACTTAGTCAGAACTGGGGAATTTATAAGGAAAAAGGTACCAAGTGAACGAACAATTTTGCTGGCAGAGATAAAATAAGAACTAATAACGTCTGATTATTACAATTTAGTTTGTACGTGTGTTCCTTCAGATTCCATTGGTCAGTTGTTACAGTAAACTATGTAAGCAAAAATACAATTTTTGTGATCATTAAGTGTCACTTATCTTGCAAACAATATTTTCTAAACCGCTTCTTTTTCTTGATTTTTCTCGTAAGTGTTCTCAAAAACGTCCAAGTGAGAAAGAATCGGTGCTAGTTAAAGCATTCAAAAGCACATGTAAAAATTGAGAATAAAAAAGTGTATTTTCAAGTTGGGCTTTTTGAACAAATTAAGAGCAGCTCTTTTGGTTATAAGCTGGAAACCTTCGGAAGTAGAAATACGCCAGGGCATCTAGTTTCTAACAAACGCAACGTCTAAATACTTCTAAAAGAGCGCGTCTCACAAAAATCGATTAAGCAAAGAAATCAGTGTTCAAACAGTGACAAATGAAAAATAATGCAAAGTTTATTAAGCAAAAGACTCTATAGTTCTACCTGATTTTCTAATTGATAAAAAAGTTGCAGCTAACCAGAACAAAATCTTTACTGTGTGTCTAATTGAAACTTTTCATTTTCAATTCAATTTAATCAACATCTGGTTCTGCTAAAGTGTGAGCTTGCTTAGATTTTTTCAGCAAGTTCCGTGTTAAGTTCTCCAAAAAATTTTCTGCTTCAAGTTTTTTTGGTCGAAAAAAAATGAAATGTAGATCTTGAAAGCGAATTTTTGATTTATGTTTCATGTATCACCTTCCAAAAGATGTCAGAATTGAATTTCTTCTTCAAAAATCATCCTCAAAACATGTGGAATTTCATTTAAATTTACCTACAAACAAAAAAATATCAAAGCTCCTAATGAAATAACTTGAGTTTCTATCTCAATTTAGTACTTTCTCAGTTTCTGCTTCATCTGCTATCTTCCAACTTAATCCAATTTGAACGAATTCTTAATTTAAATTTGAATTTTAGACAGAAAAACCTATAATTTTATCGAACATTCAATGATCCGAAGCAGAATTAATATCATTAATACTTTGCTAAAAATCTTCAAATGATTTTCTCAAGTTGATAGCTGTATGTTGCTGTTTCAACTCTGAATTTCTATATTGAAGTAAATTTTCGGTTGAGAAGGTTAAATACTATTAAGTTGAGGTTTTCACAAGTTGGCAAAAACATATCTGTTTTGTCTTTTCTAGGTAAGTTATCAATTTGTTTTTTGAAATCGTCGAAAAAAATGTAAAAAACCATAATTTTTAACAAATCATCCTCCATTATCTGCTTAACATTGCACTACTCTATGAACACTTTTACAAGCACTAAAAAGGAAAGATTTAAAATGATAACTACACAAAACCTTTCAATTAGTAGATGTTTTATTAATATCCAGTTTTTAACAATTTTTTAACAAATACTTAAACACTCATTAGCGTTTGTTATGCACTTTTACTACAAATTTACTTTTACTACAAGCTTGCAATCAATGTTTTTTCTGTTGGTTAAAGATTTTTGGATCGTTTTCCATTGAAAAATTGTTGCTTTAGGATTGTTGCTCGTTTTATCATCAATCATAATCTTTGAATAAGAAAATGACAAATAAAAATTGTGATGAGAAACTTTTTACTAAAAATTTCAAATTTATCACAATTTTACTTCAGATTCAGTAAAAATAAATATTCATAGTAACATCAATGTTTTTAATAGAAAAATATTTATTTTACCTTCTCTTGGAGTGTGTTTGGAGACTGCTGAGCACATAATTTAACATTATGTTGACAAGAAGCATGCTTCTTCTTGACATGATTTGTGAGTTCATCGCTGCTATAAGTATAACGGTTACAGTTCGAGCACTTCAAAACACCACAGGTTCTACGATGTCTTGACGCATCTTTACGTGTGTATTCTCTGCCACACTCAAGACATGCGACTCTTTCATTTCTATTCAATGACGAGGTCTCAAGAAAGAACTTGAGATTAAATGGGAGATTTAGAATGTCCCAAACTTTTCTAATAAAAGAGTTGAATAGCTTCAAAGAATTAGTTAAAGTAAATAAAAAGCGCAAACCTCCTAAGCAAATGTTTTTAAGGTGAAAGAAAACTTGAATGGATATCATCTTATTTGGGCAAGATGAAAAAATCATCCAATCCAACCAGTTTTGATATAAACCAATCGGAATCGAGCATTATTTATAAGGAAATTTTTATCGTTTTTGATAACAACCAATCAGAAGCGAGCATTACTCATAGGAAACTTTCTTATCTTTTTTGATGACAACCAATCATATCAAGCATTCCCTCACAGGCAATATTTGTGATATCAGCCAACCAGAATGAAGTATTCACAGATTTTAAAATAATTTATAGAAAAAAAAACTCTGTTTCAGAAACTTCCCAATCAATCATATTTATTGAAAAAACTTCTAACATAACTAAGAAAAACTTTTGACACCAAAGTAAGTTAAACGAGATTTCTTGTCTTGTTCATATATTTTTTTCGATACTAAATTCAAATTTTGAAGTTTCCATCAAACTTTTTTTTGATTTGGTTAGTGAAAAAAACCAGTGAAAAAAAAAATTACCAAAAGATACATTTTATGGTTATATTTTTGATATATTGTACTATAAACAATCGGAAGTCTATTAAATTTGGATAATCGATTGAAATATATTCTGAGAGATCTAGATTTTGTTTTTCTATCAAATTTTAAACAGTATTAAAATTGATGTTCCTAATCTCCAATTTTTGTTTCATAGGCTCTTCCGTTGTTTTATTTTTACTGATCGACCACTGAATCTGAGTTAACTCTTCTAAATTAATACATTGTTGGTAAATCTGGAAGTACTCTTCTTTTTTGTAATTTTCTCTCCATCTTTTTAACAATTTTATTGAACTTACGGGGAACTTACTTTGTTTCTATATAAGTTAAAACTAATGCAATCTCCATCAACGTCAACAGTCCACCACTCTGTAATTTTTTGTAGTAGTTCAATTTTAAAATCTGATGAAAGTTCATTTCAGACGTTGAAAACGCTATTGATGGAAACTTTTTTTTCTACTGGAAAAAACAAAGAAACTTAAAAAACTGGAACTGTTTTATCATTTTTAATTTTTTGTAATCACCATAAAAATTTTTTTCATCATTTAGAAAACTGATGTAGCCAACCGAAAAGTCAAGTTATGGCTAAAACTTTCAACTACATTCTTGTGTTTAATTTTGTTCAAATCAGACAATATTTACTTAAATTTGAATAAAAACAGTAGTTA